AGAGACCCCAGGCTCAGGAGGCTCACAGGAGGAAGGGGATCTGCTAGGATTCGGGGCAAACCTCTCACAGGGACTCTCTTCCAGGGCTGAGTCTGGGCTCCAGGACCCAAGCACAGACAGGTGAGTCGACCCCAGGGGTCCCAGTCCCATCTCCTCACTGGAGACAGGAGTCACCCACCAGGCAGCAGGGGATGGAGAACAGAAGTTCTGGGCTGACCAAGGGGAATGTCTGGGGGCTTGGGGCTGAGCTGGGACCTGGGGGTGGGGAAGATCTGTGTCCCAGCCTCTGTTTCCTTCCAGGGACCCTCCCCAGACCCACTGTCTGGGCTGCGCCAGGCTCTGTGATGCCCTGGGGGACATCTGTGACCATCTGGTGTCAGGGGAGCCTGGAGGCCCAGGAGTACCGCCTGCATAAAGAGGGGAAGTTAGAAACCTGGGACAGACAGAAGCCACTGGAATCCAAAGACAAGGTCAAATTCCCCATCACACACATGGCAGACATATATGCAGGAAGATACCGCTGTGACTATCTCAGTCCCACTGGCTGGTCAGAGCCCAGTGACCCCCTGGAGCTGGTGGTGATGACAGGTGCGAGCCCACTCAGGGTCCCAGCCCCAGGCTCTGCCCTCAGGAAGGGGGTGGGCTCTCAGGTGTCTCCTTCTCACAGCCCAGCCTGGGGACAATGTGGGGGTCTGAGCCCCATTTAACACCACCCCCTCCTCCTCTCCTAGGATCCCAGGGCAAACCCAGCCTCTCAGCCCTGCCCAGCCCTGTCGTGACCTCAGGAGGGAACGTGACCCTCCAGTGTGCCTCACGGATGGGATTCCACAGGTTTGTCCTGATGAAGGAAGGAGAAGGTCAGCCCTCCTGGACCCTGGTCTCCAGGCCAGTCCCCCATGGGGGAACCCAGGCCCTGTTCCCTGTTGGCCCCGTGACCCCCAGCCTCAGGTGGACATTCCGATGCTACGGCTATTACAGCAACACCCCCCAGGTGTGGTCGGGCCCCAGTGACACCCTGGAGCTGCTGGTCTCAGGTGAGAAAGTCTGACTGTTGCCCCATCCGTGTTTTGAGGCACCAGACAGGTTAATGGGGACTCTGCTCCCAGGGGAGCCCCAATGAGAGGGTGGGTGAGGGGACCACGGGGACTCACAGGTCAGCGTCACTGACGGTGATGGATGGTGAGACCCGGGGATCAGGATGTGAGAAGGGAGGTTTGGGGAGAAGCAGCCCCTGCCATCCACAGCTGGTCTCTTCCAGGTGTGTCAGGGAAGCCCTTCCTCCTGACCCAACAGGACACTGTCATGACCTCTGGACAGAGGCTGACCCTCCAGTGTCACTCTGATGTCGGCTACGAAAGATTCGCTTTGTCCAAGGAGGGGGCACCTGACCTTCCACGGCGGCTTGGCCGGCAGACCCAGCCTGGGCTCTCCGGGGCAAACTTCTACCTGGGCCTGGTGAGACCCTCCCACGGGGGCCGGTACACGTGCTACGGTGGACACACCCTCTCCTCCGAGTGGTCGGCCCCTAGTGACCCCCTGGACATCCTGCTCGCAGGTGAGGTCTCACGGTGTCAGTCAGGACTCCAGAGTGCCCAGGTCCTGCCAGGGGAACCCCAGGTGGTGGTGGCCGGGACTAGGGGTGTGGGGTCCCCAGGGAGGGAGAGAGACAGAGAGAGATGGGGGATGGGAAGGGACACACTCGGAGGACACAGACAGACGCAGTTCAGAACAAGGTCTGGACAGCCCCTCACCCGCCCTTCCTCTCTCTAGGACAACTGCCCTACACACCCTCCCTCTCGGTGCAGCCGGGACCCACGGTGGCCCCAGGAGAGAATGTGACCCTGCTGTGTCAGTCACGGAGCCCTGTGGACACTTTCCTTCTGTCCAAGGAGGGGGCAGCCGATCCCCCCCTGCGTCTTAGATCACAGTACCGAGCTGGGCAGCACCGGGCTGAATTCCCCATGAGTCCTGTGACCTCAGCCCACGGGGGGACCTACAGGTGCTACGGCTCCGCCAGCACCTCCCCCTACCTGTTGTCACAGCCCAGTGACCCCCTGGAGCTCCTGGTCTCAGGTGAGAGTCGCTGACCCTGTCCCC